TAGGTATCTGTGTGTCTGTGTATTTGACAGGGAAAGAAAGACAAACCTATTTTGGAGGCTGATGTATCTAATAATAATAATAATAAATGACATTTATATAGCGCTCAACCCCGACTAAAGTACACAGGCTCTGAGCGCTTTACCATACAGCACAACGCACAACAGTAACATAAAACGTTGTGTTCTATTTAAAAGAAAATTACTCAAAATATCCATCTTATTAATTTAAAACAGAAACGACTTCAGTTGACATTTGATGAATCAAAAGATTTGATTTCTCTTAAAGAGCTTGGTAAAGTATTCCTGATCTTGGGGCCTTGTATTTAAATGCCCTTTCACCCATTGTTTTAAGTTTCACAGATGGTAAAATAAATTTCTTTTTGTCAGCTGATGACCATAAACTGCCAGTTGGAAAGTAAGTCTTAACAGTTTTGATAAATATGATGGTACATAATCATTCAAACATTTGTCACATAGGGTGGGCAACTTGTACACTATTCTTTTCTCAACAGGAAGCCAATGCAATGTCCATAAAAGAGGTTTAGCAGAGTCTCGCTTTCTTTTCCGTAAAACTGAAAGTGTAGCATTGTTTTGGACAGTCTTTGGAGGAAGAAACGGGAGTTTCTTGAGTCTTTTCAATGCCTGTAGTGAAGAAGGAAATTGCAGTAAGAAAGCAACAGAAGGGAAAGGTGCAAAAGGAAAAAGAGATAAAGTAACAGAGGCAAAGACAGATCAAAGAGCATAGAGCCAAAGAGTGAAGCAGAGCACACAAAACCCCCCAACAAAACAGAACAAAGAAACAAAGAAAGAAAAAACATTGAAAACAATGGTCTAGAGGAACAGAGTTGCAACGCAGACCAAAACAAAATAAGAGAAAAGAAAAAAAGAAACAGACACAAATGTAGAAGAAAAGAAGAAACAGAAGAAAATAGATTAAGACTATTAGTAAAGACAAAAAAACCCAAACAGACGGGAAACATAGACAAAAAGAGAGAAAGTAATAGGAAAAAGAGAAAAAAAAAACCTCACAAAAAACTAAACGAAGCAAAACAAGAAAAACCCAAAGAAAAAAGAAAAGAAAAAAACCCCAACTATTTAACGACACAATAGTGTCTGCCCCCGTCAGCCCTCCAGGCATGACACGCCCATGCCGACGTGTATTTGCCCACTCTCAGCTCACCACCCTGCAGGCCGACGGAACTTCTCAACAACAGCAGAGGTGACGCCATTGACGGCTACAGCCATGATTGATTTCTCAAAGTGCATTTTTTCCCAACAAGTTTTCAATCAATGACAACATTTATCGGACAGACGTAAATGTAAATGTATAGACTGAAACCGTCTATTTTGTGGTTCTTACAAGTATATTATTTTCCCCCTTCGGACTTCTCTGCGACATCCACCCTTTGGCGCTCATATGACCTTATTATGCAGTTGCGAGCGCCGTTAAACCTTGTTAAAACTAACTTAACAGGTGTATTATCAGGGTTAAAACGCAATTGCCTATGTCGTTATTTTATTTCGATAAGAGAGTATGCTCCGACCAACAAAAACAAAAAAAGAAAATTCTAAAAGTGTTCATCTTGTCTGAGACTAAATTTTCTTTCTCCATCTGTCGTTTTTGTCCGTCTGTCTTGTTTTAACTGCACCAGATGAACGTTACTGTGTCTATGCGCTCGTTTAACTGCACTAGATGACGGTATAGTTGTGCTGATGTGCTTCTCTTTTCTCATACATTACCATTGGCAACGCACTCTGTGAAACGTCACAGCAACTGCAACAAACCTGCACTTATCAAGACATGGCAAGGGACAAAAGAGCGGGAAATTCAGCGGTTGCTGGGTCAATGACAACATTGGCAACTCACACAAAAACAATGAAATTTTACGATTTTACACTTTTTTGATGTCATAGGTTATGCAGGAAGTCTTGTATGAAAAAACTCAATATGCAAAGGAAATTTAAATAATACTATTGATATGAGGTTGCATGTTATGGGCTCATTTTGTATGACATTTAGAGAAGTTGCTAACTGCCCTGCGTCAAACCCCAAATGATGTACTCTTGGATGTTGATTGTTTCGAGGGTTTTAGCGACTCTTCACAAACATGGGTCCATTTGATCGGACATGGACGTTTAAGTCTTATATTATGACTCTTCATACAAAGCCTTTAAGGCAGAGCATAGAAACACCAAACAAATAATGCAAACTTACGCTTTTCTAGAAAAATTAAAAAAAACAAAAACAAAAAAACCCAACAAAGAACAAAAAAAAAACACACACAAAAAAGCACAAATTAAAAAAAAAACCGTCTGCAAAATGAAGCTGTGAAAGATAATCGAAAGAACTGTGATTTACCAATGCGTACTCGCTCTAAGCAAAATCTATTTCAGAAAAACAAGAGATCCGGCACCTTGGGCAGGGACTCAAATCCATCTTATAAAACAGCTTTTGAGTTAATATTTATCTATCTATCTATCTATCTATCTATCTATCTATCTATCTATCTATCTATCTATCTATCTATCTATCTATCTATCTATCTATCTATC